TTTCCCAGTTTGTGGCTGGTCAGGGGACAGGTGGGGGGTGTGATGAACCATTAAATATTATTAAAAGATAAGGGGTTTTATTTATATTGCCCATTTTTTTATTTAGGTTTTAAACAATAATATATTCCCCCTCACTATAAGCTAAGGATGAATTTTTTTTTTAGAGTAAGTATTTGTGTACTGAATATTTTTTTGGGCCCTGCTTTAGTGTTTATTAATGTTTTTGATAGGAAAACAATCGATTTTATAGCTTTCGAAAGTGAAAAAGGCTGTTTCACTGACAGTGAGTTTTGCTTTACAGCAGTAGCCCAAAAACCCTAACCTGCTGATAAGTGGGGACCCCTGTATGGGGAAAGTTTTAGAGTATTCATGGGAAAAGAAAACAAAAAAAGGGGTTTTGGGGTTTGTGCGTGTTCAAGTAAAAAAAACTCGACTAGTTTACTCATTGGAGGGGAAGTGGGAATTGGCTTAAAAGAAAATTATAAGATTTAAAAAAAGACTGTTTTGGGGGGACTGGTAATGAGTCATACCCAAAAATAAAAAAGGAAAAATGTATACATTTTTTAATAGTATTGTTTCTTTTGTGGGAAAACTGTAAGAGGTATGCATTATATAAAAACTTTTAAGGGAGGTAAGGAGGTCCCTTTGATTGTTAAAGTGCACTCATTGGATTGAAGCTATTTTTCCCTTTCCGGATCGATCTCATTGTGCTCATTTTGCTGGACTGTAGACCCCTTGGTTTTTGTATTCTTCCGGAAGTAGTGATAAATAATAATGAGTGGCTCCTTAAAATTGTGATTAAAAGGAAAAAACATTGCTTTTGAATGGTTGGGGTTGGGGAAAAAAGAAAAAAAAGAAATGGAAATAAGTAAATACAAGTATTTTTTTATTTAAAATACTTAAAAACTCCAAGTCAAAAAAGTTAAAAAGATGTCCAAAAAGAATAAAAGATAAAATTTTTTTAAAGATGAAATTTGTTACCAACCCTCTTGCAAATTTAAAAATTTTTGGGAATTACCCATTAAAATTTATTTGTTTTTTGGATAAGTGTGGCTTAAATACTGAAAAGTATTAAATAGACCATGGGTATGTGTGTGCGTAATATAAAGGGGGGTTCTTTTTTTTGTCTAAAAAAAGGGAAAAGTAAAATACATTGTTTTCAATAAAAAAAATTTTATTTTATTGTTTATAATGGAGTACAAAAAATTTATCATCTTATATATTTAATTTGGGAAAGGGCCCTTTTTAAAACTGCAGCTGGTCACCAAGTGAATTTCCACTTCCTTGTTAAAATCACCCCGGGTGCTTGATATCACTTTGTTACACAGCCTTTTTTTTTAAACTAGTAGTTTTGTATTGAAAATACAGAAAAAACTGAGTTACAGTTCAAAAAATAAATGCTAGATGTTTTTTTAAATTGTTAATTTTGTATCATTGCCGACAAAATTTCCCCCTTTCATATTTTCACTCTAAACTTATTTATGATTAATCGAAATTTTTTCAAAAAAAAACTTTTTTTTAAATTGTGGGGAAACCCTTTGTAAAAAATGGTTAAAAAAAACGAAAAGTTAAAGAATGAGAACGAAAAACATTTTGGAATCTTTTTAAGGAAATGTGGCAAAAGTGGCTTCATCAGTTTTGTAAAAGAAGAACGAGGGAAAAAAAAAGGGGGAGTTGAAGGAATCGTCCTCAGCCTTAAAGAGTGGATGAAACACGATTCCAGATTGAGGGAGGATTCCCTCAACGCCCCTCTTCTCTGAAGGAATGATAAAACCACGTGTGGAAAAAATTTTTTCCCTCAATAAAGTTCCCCAAATGTTGCCGTGTCTATTTCAACGGGAACCCATTGTACCTTCCACTGTACCACTCATTATTTCAGGACATGCCTCTGTGTTCTGACACTGCATAAAGAGGCAAATCCACCTTCACATTTCATCAGAAGAAACCATACACTGGAATCTCATTACAGTGTTCATTTAAAAATTTTAAATTCTTCAAGTAAAAAAATAACGCTTAAGCAACAAGAAAAATTCTATAGCTATACTTTTATATTTCCCTTAAGGTATTTTAAAGTAATACGTATGTCTTATTATGGACTTCACAAAATTTCATAGAAAATTATTATTACCCCTGCTAGTAGTGGTATTTAGTATACCATTGTTTATATTGGTTGGAATATATTTTTACAGTTTCTCAAGTTTAAAATATGTTAAATGATCAAATAAGAAATTTTGTTTGTCTTGTTAGTTTGATAATTAAAGGTACTTTCAAAAATTGGGGAAAACAACAGAATTATAGGATACAAATGTAAAAATTTCATAAAATTAAACTCATTCACAAAATCAGAAATTTCGTTTTTTAAAACGTTTTGTAATATATCAAAAAAAACACTTTAAATGAAGAATTTTTTTTTTTTTTTTTTATTTCAGATTTTATATAACAAATTTACATAAATTAAGTTTTAAAATGTAAAATAAAACTAGAGGCAAAACAATGTAATAAGAAAATTAATGAAAAGACTTTAAAAGAGATTGTGTTCTGCAAGGTCCTGAATAAAAATTACTTTTTTAAACATGTACATGTAGTTTGCTTAAAAACCATGACCCTTTCAAATTTTTAATTTTAACAATACTTTCATCACTGAAAAAAACCCCAAACCTCTCAAGTGGGGGAAGAAAACCTGTTTACAAAGTCCCCAAAAAACTATTTAGCATTTTTAAGAAAATAATAAAAGACCCTTAAATTTAAAATATATTAAAACCAGTATTTTATCAAATTAAAAACAGTTTCGTAGCGAGTCAGGAAAAATCAATGCTCTTCTATGAAATGTATTCAAAATGGAAATTTTTTTTTGACTGTTTTGAAAGGGTGAACTCTTCTAGCTTAAGGTTGGGGTTGTTTTAAGATTAAATGCTGTCCCCAAAACTTACTAGCTGTAAAATTTTCATACATTCATAGTAATTATAAGTATTATACATGGGTTTAATGAAAAAATTTTTGCCCAATATTTAAAGTGTTGGGAAAACATCCTTTAAGGGTGCTAGAAATTTTAAGGGACGCCATGTAAATTTTAGCAGGAATTAATTAGGGTTTTTTGGTCGATTGTTGCTATTCAATTTAAAATGTAAAGTGTAAGCTTGTAAAATTGTGAAATTCATATTTTGAAAGTGTTGTATCCGAACGTACAGTACTTTGTACCAAAAGCTTGTTTTTTTTTTTCAAATTCAGTTTTTTTTAGAGTATATTTTTAACTTTTTGAATAATTCCTTGCTGTTAAAAAGACAATAGAACATAGATGCTATTAAAAAAAATCAGACGAACCCCCCGATTTTAGGCTTCCTCTTTGTGGGTTTTGGGTACCCCCATTTTAATGAAAAACCTCCCACAAAACCTTTGTTTGCAAATTTTTTTAAATTGCCTTTTTTATATATATATTATATATCTTGCACCACCAAAGGATTTTTTATGCTATTTCTGTTTTTTTTTTTTGAGTTATCTTTCCTTTTGAAAATTTGGTATTAACGTCAAAAAGGAAAATTTTAGAGATATGCCTTGAAATATAAAATGAGCCAAAAAGTGATCAAATTGAGATACAGTCTAATTTTGTATTTTTTGCCAATTTTTAAATTTGGGAGGGCTGGGATTCAATGCTTTTTAAATACTGTAGTATGTTGATTAGAGAATTAGGGAGTCACTAAAACAATTTGCATAAATTGTCCCACTGAAGTCCATGGTCATGAAAGTTTTAAATAAAATTAAAGCAGTACAGGTTTATAAAAAATACTATAGAGAAAGGAAACTTTTGAGACATGTTTTGCTGGGAGCAAGCTTGTTTTCCCCAAACGAAAAGTTATCTTTTAAAGGTTTCCTTTTGCTATCATTTGGGTTTTAAACGCTTATTTGGTTTTTTTTTGCTTCTTGCATTTGAAGCTTGAACTACCCCTTGAAAAAAGTGTAAAATTCAGATTGACTGTAATTAGTCGTTTTTTACTGTACAATGCAGAAAGTTCAGCTTTGGGGAAAATTTTAAGGTCAAAATAATTTTTAAAAACTTGAAGGGTTTTGTGGAAAAAAAATTTTTCAAAGGTAAATGTTTCCAATCTGAATGAATCTTCTGAGCAAAGGAACAAAAAATTAGGGTTGGGGAGTGCCTGATAGGCCCTTTAAGTTAAAAAGCCATGTTTACAAGAAAATGTTGCTTGCTGGCGGGGGTTATAAGTAAATTTTATTGGGGTTCAGGGTAAATGATAAAAAAAGAAAAAAAAAAACAGGATACAAGAAAAGCCGAAATTTTTTTCGAAAGGCAAGAGGGACAAAAAAAACATTTTTATTTATAAAAACCCCAACAACCCGTCCCCTGGAATATTTTAACCCAAAAAGTAGTGATGCTGGAGAAGACTGTGGAAGGAATACTACTTTTTAATTCTGCGTTAGAGGGTGTTGTGCATTCTGCCCTTAGGGTTTTTATTCCGTTTTTCAAAAATATTCCTTATGGTACTAATCGCCCTACAAGATTGCTGGTATGAGTGGTTGCTTAGTGGCAACAAAAATTTTTTTAAAAATTTTTCGACTTGCTTATATGTCATGAAAAGGCATCTGCACCATTTTTCTCATTTGTTAAAGCTGTGGTGCCCTAAGATCTTTTGGTAAATTGTATATTTATTAGAGAAAATGGTAACTTCTAGTCTTTGCTTCTCTTTCAGTGCTTGGCATGTTACCTGTCTGCCTTCTCTTGCAAATTTATTTTAAAGCAGATTTTTTCTATAACTTTTTTTTTTTTTGAAATTGATTTACGCACTGCCCATGATGCCTCATCTTTTGTTAGCTCACCTCCCTCTTTTTCCCCCCTTTAAATTCAAATCACCCTCCCTTTTTCTTTAGAGGGCTGAATGAAGCATGTGATGTTAACTGTGTCCCTGAATAGTAATAAAAAGTAGGATTTTTTTGGGGGTGCAAAGTAAGCCCTATACTCAGGGGTGCTGCAGATTGAAGGTTTTGAGTTATGATGGCTGTGCACTTCTTTGAGTTATCCTATCTTGTTGGGAAATAGGCACTATACTCAAAATAAATAATGTTAAAACGTGCTTGAAATCCACAGAAAAGAAAGACGTCTTGAAACCATTACAGACAACTCTCCAAATAACAAAAAAACTAGAAACAAATACTAAAAGTGGGGAGAGACGAAAAGAGAAACTTTGATAAGGAAATACCCTGACAGGCTAGGGTAAGTTGGAGTCAAGCCTTCTATTTTAGTATGTAAGAAGCAAATATAATGTGAAAGATAAAATACAAAAACTCAAGTATGACAACAGACTCCTGAATCAGATGAATAATGTGAGAGAGCATAAGTTCCAAAATGAATGCTCATTGATACCCTTCATCCTTATGGGTTCCTTGATGTGCGGGCTCATTAAGTTATTCATTACAATACTGAAGTCTTTGCTATATATGTTGATGAATGAGACATGTCTGTCATCATTATTATGAAATATTTGCTTCCATGCCTATTATCACCAGCAGGTTCCTAATATTTTTCCAGTTTACTTTGCCATGTTTCAAAATGTCCAGGATCATCAAGTAAGCATTGGTCCTGTTCTGCTTGTTACTGGTGCTTTTCCTCATGGATGATTTTGTTCCTTATTTTATTGTAGCCCCCCTCATACTGTTTATATGAAAGGGGGAAGGTACTTAGGGATTGGCAGAAAGTGTTCATAGATCCTTTGCAAAAAGAAAAAAGGAATGAAAGATAGTGTAAGAACTGTAAGGAAACAAATCTTTAAGGGTAGGGAAGTTTTCATTGCATTTATGGATTTAGAAAAGGTATATGATAGGGTGGATAGGGGGGGAATGTGACAGATGTTGCAAGAGTACTGAATAGGTGGTAAGTTATTTAACCCTTTCAGGGTCAGCAGGCCCTCTCCTAAACTTGTTCTCAGGGTCGGAAATTTTTCGAAAAAAAAAAAATCTTATGAAATGATAGAGAATCTTTTCCTGATCATAATGACACCAAAAGTATGAAATTTGATGGAAAACTTATGGAATTATGCTCTCACGAAGTTAGCAGTCTCGACGATGTTTATGCATCGGTGATTTCGCCCACTTTGAGCCCTATTATTGGCCAATTCCAATGTACCAGTCAACAAAAATCATGACTATATCGCTAGAACTCCATTTTTTCTATCGAATGAGTCCAAGAAACCACCCATTTACAGATTTCAGCTGTCCAATAAAGTGGTCAGAAATTGGCAATTTTGCCAAACACAAATTTCAGAGGATGCCAATTTCCAAATAGGGTCCAGAATAAACAAGACAGACAATCCTGGCACTAAAATAACATTTCCTCTGTTCATTAGTCACATTCCCAGGCTTCTGTTACATTTCTTTTGATTTCCACTTTGAATTTTTTTTCTCACATAAAATAGAAGATTTACTGTTATGCAGACTACTGCATTAGTGTAGAAATGGTATAAATAATACCAGCACACTTGTGAAAGAATATTAGACCCACCAGTTGATGTGTATTGGACACGTGGCATGATTTGTTTACTTTTGAACTTTGGCAAAAATCAAACATTTCTGCTTCTTTGAGCTCAATTTCAAGGTACTTTTCATTGTGAAACCAATCAAAATCATCTCAATTTCTGTAATATGTTTTCCATTCTATAAAATGAAACCAGGAAAACTTGAATACAACCATAAATAGCACATGAAAATACACTGCAAAGTCGCTGTTTTTAACCAAAAACACGGTTGGAGTTTTTTTTTTTCATTATGCACTGTGTGCTGCAGGAATTTTTTTTACTGCGCACACTGACCACATAGACCCATTCTTTCATATGTAGGCCTACCGGCTTTCTCTCGCTAGATTTGAAGGCGCTAGAATTTATGCGTGCTAGTACTGCACCAACCCTTGCGTGCAAGCCGTACTAGTATGGCACCAACCCTGAAAGGGTTAAAGCAGTTGAGTTTTTTTGAGGATAGTGAGGGTTCAGGTTAGGGTATGTAGGAGAGAGGGAGATCATTTTTCAGGAAGAGCAGGACTTAGACAAGGATGTGTGATGCCACACTGGTTCTAGAACATATTTATACAAAAGGCTGGGATTAGAAAAAAGAATCTAATACAAAGTTGGCATTGTCACAGTTGCTTTTTGTCAATGACACTGTGCTTTTGGGAGATTGTGAAGAGAAGTTGGTAGATGGATGTAGGATGGTATATGTAAAAGAAGGAAATTGAAAGTGAATATAGGAAAGAGCAAGGTAATGAAAGATTGAATATTATATTGGAGGCATCTGAGCTGTAATGTTGGGTTGCCTCTAGCAAGACAGTGATGAAGTGAGCAATGGTGAAAGTGTTTCTTCTTTTTCGGGGCATTCATATACAATATTTGACTTGACTCTCATTGTGGAGTTTGGTGGCATTTTAGATACAAGACTGAGCTGTCATTAGTTGATACTGGGATTGGTGTTAGGTTTAGGGTGGGTTAAGTTTGTAGGTATTGCATAAGGTTGTTTGGGACAGAAAGACAGAGGGGAAGAAAAGCAAAGTTGAACTTTGACCTCATGTCTTAAGCTATATCAAGTTTAACAGGCTTCCCCCCCCCCCCTCCACACACACCAAAAAAAAGTCAAAATAGTCACAGTCGTAGTAAAGTATGGGAGGAGGTAAAAATTTTGGAGGTTCCTCATAGTGTGAGGCCCTTAGCTTTTGTACAAATCTGGGCCTGTGAAAGGTGAGGGAGGAAGAGTAAGTATGGTTGACCCAGTTGGTTCCTTTGTATCTGTTTCTTTCATATACCCATGTAGAAACCTCAGCCTTGCACTTACCTCTGGCCGTGATTGAAAGACGGTTGGGTTCTCATTTCTCTTCTATTCACATCTTTTCTTCTCTCCCTGTGGTACCCATCACCTGCTCCTGACATCCAACATCTCTCCTCTTTAGTGTTGCAAACAAAACTCATAGTCAAATATTTTGACTATCTCTGATGACTTTTTTCAGTGACATTTGTCCACGAGACAGGTCTGTATTGAAATGGGTCCTCACAATCGCCCTTTTTATATGCAGTATTAGCACAGTGATTGGCATTCTTCACATGTTGGCCAATTTACCTTCTTGGAAACAAACATTAAATATATATTTCAATATATTCCTGAGCAAGTCACTCAGCTCTTCCAAATTCCTTCAGGTGTCTCTCATTTTATGTTGTAGATGTATTCCAGGTCCATGTCAGCTGTACCATGCTCAAATAAAGCCAACTGCATACAATGAATGTATATATCTCACACCCATGGAATTACCCATAGAAATGGCGCATTGTACAATAGCTAATTAGCATAAAACGAGGGAAACGTACATTTTATTTGACCTTAGTGTTTGATTTTTGTCAATATATTGTTTGGTAATTTTTTTGCTTAAATTTTAGTGTTTTCAGCCAAACCAGTTTTACTGAATTGTTTCAAATTCAATAAAATTCTGTAATTTTTACAAAGACACTTAAAAACCACTTGTGGGAATTAGATCTGATGAACCTTTACAGGAATACATAACACATCAAATGTACCCCATACCTGTCTCAGATGTGCTAAACGATGAATAATGATAGGTCCTCCATAACGCGCCACAGGAACATGCCTCTAACACTTTCTCTTGCAGATATTGCAGAAATGCATCAAGTGGTGGCTACTAATTTGGTGTTTTGTTACTGTGATTTTTTTCCTTCTTCAAATCCCTTCATGATGGAAGCTGCTTCTACAGGCTGGGGTGTTGCCCTCAACATATCCTCTCAGGTAATGGGTCTTTGCCATCCTCATCATCTCTTTTTCCCAGTGAAGTGGAAGGAACTTAGGAAATTTATATAATGATTGTATGCTGGAGATGTGAAATTCAATCTTGGATTTTTTTTTTTTTTTTTTTTTTTTTTTTTTTTTTTTTTTTGAGAATTGCACAACCCACACCCAACTATAATACCATGGCTGTCCTCATCTTCCTCAATGAGATCTTGTCCTTTTGAAGAACACCAATCTTCCCTCGCATTTACCCAGATGTCTCAGTAATCTCAGTAATCTGATACACCAATTGTTGTCACATGAGTCATGAGTGGGAACTTTACCCAATTTCTTCCATTCTTTGGTGGAATGCCAGGATGCTCCAGACATTATCTTCTTTACTAGTAAGACTGCTTACAAAGTTCTGATTTGTCTCTGTTTTTGAACCAGATGGTTTTAATGACAAATGTAATACCATCAAGTGGCAGGAAGTACAAGTTCTGTTATCTCTTCCTGCTTTCCTCAGCTGCACATCCCTTGCATCCTCATTCCTTTGCTCTGCCACTTGCAATCCACATTCCTGACTTGGAAAGTCCTGGCTTAAGAGGTATTCCATCATCAACATTAATTTCTTGTTTTCCGGACCCCAGAGGATAGCCAGGTCTGCTCTGCATTTCATATGGTCCCTTCCAATGCCTCCTGTGCCATGGCTTTCCTGACACACAGTAGTCACTCGGTGCTGTTAACACCAAATCCAGTCACTTTCTTTGAGCTGAAGCCTTCGTTTTATTTTGCTTTTTCTTCCTTGTGCATGTGGAGGATCCTCCCTCTAGGCACTTGAATAGTGACCTATCATTGGATTACATTCTTCCCGGCAATTCCTGGAGCCTGTGATATACTTGTGATTGATTTCAAGGGCTTGTCTATGCTACCAGTCTGGCCTTTGACCAAACTTCCTTGTTGAGTACTTGTTCAATTAGACATTCACTTTTATTGTTCTGCTTGTCCCCACAGCCATCACAGGGTGGTTGAAATGGTGCTTGGCAAAGGTAATGATCCGGTTTTCTCTTGAAGACTTCTTCATTTGTTCAGGCAATATTTCTGATATCTGCTGGTAGAAGATATCAAAAGTCTTGCATCATGAATGTTAACAAGGTGTTCTCTCATTGTGCTAATGGTGTCCCTTATTTTCATTGCATGTATTTTACACTTCCATATCTCTCACTCCAGTAAGTTTTAATGGTATAGCAGTATGTAGGGATGGGACCTGGCTATCCAATATATCTTCCAGATGTATATTAACAGGTGTTGTATCTTTCTTTGCCCTAGACAGTTCATTTCGAGTACCTAGAGGAATTCCCAGCTTTGATATCTTCCCTTCTGCTTGAATTGAGCCATGAGCACAGAGCAATATGTGAAAATACAAATCTTAATTGTGCCCATTCCTTCTTTGCAGGTGTCCTAACTATGGTCGGCCTTTAATGGTATGTCTTCTTTCAACAAACCGACCATGTCCCACAAAGGCAGGGTGGCCTAAAAGGAAAAACGAAAGTTTCTCCTTTTAAATTTAGTAGTATATACAGGAGAAGGGGTTACTAGCCCCTTGCTCCCTTTAATGGTATGTACCTTTTCAAATTACATGTCCTACAGGCAATAGGTAAGCTCTTACTTCCCAGCACCTCTGGGTAAAGTAGCTTATTATGGTATGTCATAGCATATACATACCACTGATTACAGCCCTCTTTGGTTCCCTCTTTGCTATGCCAACTGTCTCTTCTCCTTTCCTCTCCCATTTTGTCAACTCCACCTTCACTATATACAGTACTCTGATATCATTATACAGGGATCACTAGTTCTTATGGGAACTTTTGAGTTTCGTCCTCAATATATTTGGTCTAGCATGGCCAGTGCATTATCTTCCTGCATTCTTTTGGATCCTTTAGCACGTAGACTCAGAATTTTGTTTGTTGCTAAATTCAATAATCGTATTCAAGTACATCTACTGTATAAATGGATGATGTTACTATAATGCAAAAAGATTAGAATCATTTATCTAGATGCTCCATAAGTGAGACTGGACCTGATTTGGGTCTCATTGATAACAGTTTATGATTTGACACATTTTATTATGCATTAACTTTGGCTTGATTTGATTGTGCAATTTACCATTTGTTATTACATTACTTTTGTATATATTGCAAAAACATCATTTATTCACAATTAATTACCATAATATAGGTGTTAAAGTAGAAAATAAAAGATTAAATTATAATTATCACTATGGAAACAGCTCCAAACTGTACATCATTGAACGTGTATATTACCTGTCATGGCATATTTTATGTGTAAATAATATTTTCTTAAAGTGTGATTATTACAGTTCTGTAATTATACTTCACACTCTAACGAAATGTCTGTCAAGTATTTATCAATAATATTGTGAATTATTGTTTATCTGGCAGTATTTGAAAATCACATGATTTTTGTGCTTCATATAAAAGTACTTATGAAAAATAAAGCTTACTTTTTAAGTATATGATTAATATTTTTAACTCTGATATTCATACAGCAAAAACAGAGTACAGATACATTGTATAAGTATCATTATAAATGTTCCTCCATTTAAATTATCTGTACATGCTTAAAAGTGTTGGTTTCCATATCTCAAGTTTTTTCAAATTCTATGTTTCTTGTGAGTAATGGAAGAAGCAAATTTTGACTGTTTTGCTATTCAGTAATGATTAATTGTTTGATATTTATGTTGAAAGGAGGATCTTTTTTTTTTTTTTTTGAGAAATATAAATAATATAGGTCACAGTTCTGTACCAAGCCAGGAAACCACTTCAAGGTTAACTCTTTGTCCTGCCTGTTTAAGAAGGCTGACAGCAGAGGCATGACGAACTAGCTCCAGTGAATGACCATCTACTGAGAGTAGTCGGTCTCCACATCGCAGCTTTCCCTCGAGGGCTGCAGGAGATGACTGTACTACAAAAAGAACATGTATAGGTTCAGCACCACGCTGGGGATCAGAGCCACCAACTATGCTGAAACCAAGGGAAGCCCCAGGAGCCCTGTGCAGCACAACGCTCTTGGAGATGTGTAAAGAGCGTGGCAACTTCTGCCAATACAGCCATGATGGTACAAAATTGGCAGGGCCCACAGAAGTCTCTGGACCATCTAGCAGAGAAAGTGTGACAGCTATCAGCTCTGCTGTAGCCTTTAGTAGTGCTACTGCTTGCCCATGGGTTAATCCAAGCAGTGACTGTCCATCTACTGACAGCAACACATCACCCTTCTGTTAAGAAAAAATGTATATTAATACATAATATAATTCAGTAATATAGTTTTGGAGTGGTGGGTGCTATTATTTAATAAATGTATGGAAAAGGGTAAGGTACCTAGGGATTGGCAGAGAGCATGCATAGTTCCTTTGTATAAAGGCAAAGGGAACAAAAGAGAGTGCAAAAATTATAGGGGGAGAAGTCTGTTGAGTATACCTGGTAAAGTGTATGGTAGAGTTGTTATTGAAAGAATTAAGAGTAAGACGGGGAATAGGATAGCAGATGAACAAGGAGGCTTTAGGAAAGGTAGGGGGGTGTGTGGACCAGGTGTTTACAGTGAAACATATAAGTGAACAGTATTTAGATAAGGCTAAAGAGGTCTTTGTGGCATTTATGGATTTAGAAAAGGCGTATGACAGGGTGGATAGGGGGGCAATGTGGCAGATGTTGCAGGTGTATGGTGTAGGAGGTAGGTTACTGAAAGCAGTGAAGAGTTTTTACGAGGATAGTGAGGCTCAAGTTACAGTATGTAGGAAAGAGGGAAATTATTTCCCAGTAAAAGTAGGCCTTAGACAAGGATGTGTGATGTCACCGTGGTTGTTTAATATATTTATAGATGGGGTTGTAAGAGAAGTAAATGCGAGGGTCTTGGCAAGAGGTGTGGAGTTAAAAGATAAAGAATCACACACAAAGTGGGAGTTGTCACAGTTGCTCTTTACTGATGACACTGTGCTCTTGGGAGATTCTGAAGAGAAGTTGCAGAGATTGGTGGATGAATTTGGTAGGGTGTGCAAAAGAAGAAAATTAAAAGTGAATACAGGAAAGAGTAAGGTTATGAGGATAACAAAAAGATTAGGTGATGAAAGATTGGATATCAGATTGGAGGGAGAGAGTATGGAGGAGGTGAATGTATTCAGATATTTGGGAGTGGACGTGTCAGCGGATGGGTCTATGAAAGATGAGGTGAATCATAGAATTGATGAGGGGAAAAGGGTGAGTGGTGCACTTAGGAGTCTGTGGAGACAAAGAACTTTGTCCTTGGAGGCAAAGAGGGGAATGTATGAGAGTATAGTTTTACCAATGCTCTTATATGGGTGTGAAGCATGGGTAATGAATGTTGCAGCGAGGAGAAGGCTGGAGGCAGTGGAGATGTCATGTCTGAGGGCAATGTGTGGTGTGAATATAATGCATAGAATTCGTAGTTTGGAAGTTAGGAGGAGGTGCGGGATTACCAAAACTGTTGTCCAGAGGGCTGAGGAAGGGTTGTTGAGGTGGTTTGGACATGTTGAGAGAATGGAGCGAAATAGAGTGACTTCAAGAGTGTATCAGTCTGTAGTGGAAGGAAGGCGGGGTAGGGGTCGGCCTAGGAAAGGTTGGAGGGAGGGGGTAAAGGAGGTTTTGTGTGCGAGGGGCTTGGACTTCCAGCAGGCATGCGTGAGCGTGTTTGATAGGAGTGAATGGAGACAAATGGTTTTTAATACTTGACATGCTGTTGGAGTGTAATCAAAGTAACATTTATGAAGGGATTCAGGGAAACTGGCAGGCCGGACTTGAGTCCTGAAGATGGGAAGTACAGTGCCTGCACTCTGAAGGAGGGGTGTTAATGTTGCAGTTTAAAAACTGTAGTGTAAAGCACCCTTCTGGCAAGACAGTGATGGAGTGAATGATGGTGAAAGTTTTTCTTTTTCGGGCCACCCTGCCTTGGTGGGAATCGGCCATTGTGTTAATAAAAAAAAAATAATTCAGTAATATAGCATTAAGACAAAGTACAGTTTTGCATATACCTGCACTATACCTAACATGATCTAAATTATAATTCATGTTAATTCATGTCTTAAGATATGTAAATAAAACAAAGCATGGTAGCTTTGCAAAACTTGAAACAAATCTTAGTGACCTTTGACTTATACTTACTGCATATGTATACTGTGCTATTGGTTTACATACTGTGCTATGGTTTACATACTGTGCTATGGTTTACATACTGTGCTATGGTTTACAACTTATAGCACTTTTTGTATCTTTTACCCTGATGTTTTTAATTGTATGTTAAATGACTTGCATTCACCCACTGGCTACACATTGAATTGTGGTGTATTGGTTTATCATTTCAATTAAGGCCAACCTTAATTTTGACTTTTTTAATACAATGAGAAAATATTATTTTGTGAAATTTCCCAGACAGTGAGTAAAACCAGCTGGCTCTAGTTACCCATGGAAGTACTCCCATGGAGATAATAAAATGGGGAGTCCTTTATCACTTGGTTGTCAGCTACAGTATATAATCCAACTAATGTGGAAATTGTTTTCATAGTGATTGCTGCACTCCAGAACAGTATTTATGTGTGTTTGTTTTTCCATCTACTTTTGTATACTTGAGTTCCGTAGGTGGAAAGTACAGTGGAACCTCAGTACTCAAACAGCTTCCTACTTGAACAATTCAGTATTCAAGCGCTTTGTTCGGTAAAAGAATCACTTAGTAGTCGACCATTTGCTCAGCACTCAACCAAACTAACACAATTTGCCAGAACTTTTCATTAAACTATTTCGTGTTTCTTCAAATTTTTTGGTGCTTTTTATATTATTGGTATAAATAAGTCACTATGGGGCCTAAGAAGATTAGTGATAACAGCCAACCAAAAAGAAAATTGGTTGGGAAAAATTTGTTCAGTACTCGAACAGATTGGCACTCGAACAGCCTTCTGGAACAAATTAAGTTCAAGTACCGAGGTACTATTGTATGGTGCCTACATTCTGTGGGATTTGTGGGGATAATAATAATTCAGTGGTACCTTGACTTATGAGTTTAATTCGTTCCGTGACTGAGCTCGTAACTCAATTTGCTCATATATCAAATAAATTTTCCTCATTGAAATTAATTGAAATGCTATTAACCCTTTCAGGGTCTAGAGGCCAAATTTCAAAGTGTGCACCAGTGTCCAAGAATTTTCAAAAAATAATTTTGTTATTTTTTCTTATGAAATGGTAGAGAATCTTTTTCTGAAGGTAATAAAACAAAAAGTACGAGATTTGATGGAAAATTGACAAAATTATGCTCTCACGAATTTTGATGTGTCAGCGATATTTACGATATTTTAGACCAATTACATTATTCCAGTCGACCAAATTCTTAGCTATTTCACTAGTATTACTTCTATTCTATTGATTGAGCACAAGAATTCGCCAAGTCAACTGTTTCAACTACAAAATAAAGTGATCGGAAATTGGTAATTTGACCAATTTAATGCAAAGTTCAAAATACTCCAATTTCAAAACAGGGTCCAGAATAAACAATGCAGGCATTCCTAGCACTAAACTAACATTTCCTCTGTTCATTAGTTATGTTTTCAGGCTTTGCTAATGAATTCTATTTTGATTTTTTATTCACATAATGAATTTTTATTCAAACCAAAAAATTGAAGATTTACTGTAATGCAATACTGTAATGATTGTATAAATAATATCAGCATATTTGCGAATGTATATTAGACCCACCAGCAGGCGTGTATTAGATGTGTGAGGTCATTTGTTTACTCTTGAACATCGGCAAAAATTTAACATTTCTGCTACTTTGAGCTCAATTTCAAGCCATTTCCAGTACTAAAACCAATCAAAATCATCTATATTTCTGTAATATGTCTTCCATTCTATCAAACGAGACCAAGAAATTGAAAATACCACTATAAAAAACATACGAAAAAACACTGCAAAGTCGCTGTTTTAATAAAAAATTAGTCTCAGTCTTTCTCTCTCATTATGCACTATGTGCTGAAGGATTTGTTTTATGTGGTGCACACATACCACATAGATGTATTCTCTCATATCAGGGCCAAAATTTACTGCTCACAGCTTATCAGAGTGAGCTGAGCTCATGACGTAGATCTACGGTTTGGACCCTCAACGTAAAGCCATACGGCATGGACCCTTAAGGGGTTAATCCATTCCAGCCCCCAACTACCACCCCATTTTTTTGTTATGGGTTTTTAAATAAGAAAAATTTATTTATAAATGATTTTTGCCTTTTTTGCCAAGTCCCAGCAATGTTTTAGAAATGCTGGAGTATACATGAAACTCCTTGAAGCACGGTGCAAGATGAGTGTCACTCCGCTGCTGACTGTACAGCAATGGAGTGACATTTGATGATTATGCACTGCCTTGGCTTTATTTTTCACTGTTACACATAAACATGTCTGTCTGTCTGTTTCCATCTGTCTATTTGTCTATCTGTCTGTCTAGCTCTGTCTATGTTTATCTCTGTCTCTGCTTATCTGTCTTTCTGTCTGCCTGTGTTTCTGTCTTCCTGTCTTCCTGTCTCTCTACTTGTCTCTCTGTCTCAGAGAGAGAGTCGCTCATGAACCAACAGGTATTACACACGATGCAGAGTCGTCATGTCTGATTCCTGAACAAGTGAAAATGTGTATTACTTGCCAGTCATGCTTATTATGCCTTATATCTACAAGCATAGTATAGTACGTTGTCTGGATTTTTTGGGTTATTATAGGTAATTTACACTATGTATAACTATTTATGTGTACCTGTGAGATAGAGACAGATAGAGACAGAGACAGAGATGGACACAGATAGACAGAGATAGAGACACAGACAGAAGGAGATAGAGACAGCCAAAACAAATCAACCAACCAACCAGCCGGCCTGTGGAACATGTACGTATTACGCATGTTCCAGAATTGTTTCTCTTTACTTAGGGCATACATTATAGAACACTCTGGTAGGATGACATTACCAGTGGTATCAAAATTGAAAGAATGTTACACATTGGTTATTATTGAGGTTTTTGATATTTCCTCGGTATCTCCTGTGAGTTGTGGCGTATCTGAAGCTCGCTCGTAACTCGGATTTTGGCTCGCAGCTTAAAGCAAAAAATCGACCGAGCGACGGCTCATAACTTGGAAAACTCATAAATTGGGGCACTTGTAAGTCAAGGTACCTCTGTATCTTTATTTCTACAAGTACATGTACAGTGTATACAGGCCTAGTCGACATCAGTGACATA